GTAGGTGGGCCTCTCACTGTTGTGGCCTCTCCCGTTGCGGAGCACAGGCTCCGGACGCGCAGGCTCAGCAGCCATGGCTCACGGGCCCAGCCGCTCCGCGGCACGCGGGATCCTCCTGGACCGGGGCACGAACCCGCGTCCCCTGCATCGGCAGGCGGACTCCCAACCACTGCGCCACCAGGGAAGCCCCGGTTTTACATTTTTACATAGTTGAAGAGGAAGGAGAAGGGAGAGGAGGAAGAGGAAGAGGAAGAGGAGGAGGAATGGGGGGGAGAAAAGTGAGGAGCGGGAAGTTGAAGCTTATGTGGCAGAGACACACGTAGCCCACAAAGCCTAAAATATGCATCAGCTAATGCTTTCCGGAAAGTTTGCCGACCCCTGCATCTAAATGATGAATATTCATCCAATGGTCCCCAGATTGCAGGAGGGACGAGATGATGTCAGGCTTGCCTTAGTTTGATTTATTTCAGGTCACAGGAATTCAAATAAAGCTAATACTCTTTTTTGTTTGTTTGTCCAGTATACTGTAAATGGACATCTTGAGGACTATATTTCATAAGATCAAGTATGCAAAGGGATCTATATAATGTCTAACAGAGCACATTCAGCTGATTTTAATACAGTGCCTTGTGTTTAAAATTTGCTCATTGCGTATTGATTCATTCGAATTTTGTTTTATCTAGGGGGAAAATTTTAGATTTTCACTATTGAGGATTTTTTTTCTCACTATGGTCCCTTTTTAAAATTTATTTATGTTTATTGAAGTGTAGTTGCTGTACAATATTATGTAAGTTACAGGTGTACAATATAGTGATTCTCAGTTTTTAAAGGTTATACTCCATTTATAGTTATTATAAAATATTGGCTATATACCCCATGTTGTACAATATAACCTTGTAGCTTATTTTCTTGCTAATAGTTTATACCTCTTACATCCCCACCCCTGTAGTGCCCCTCCCCACTTCCCTCTCCCCACTGTAACCACTAGTTTGCTCTCCATGTCTGTGAGTCTGTAAAGCTACGTAGTCTTTACCAGAAATCTTTAGGAAGTTGACTTGAGAAGCAGGTCATTTATAACTAGCCCATCCATTGTTTGTGGGCAAATTCACACATCAAATGGCATGAGATGAGCCACCTTTGGAACCAGATGATTGTTTGGAAAATGAAACACTGTGCTTCGGAATCAGCCCTAACTGGAGACTCGAACATGGCACTGCTCCTGGCAACCTCATTAATTAGCCCAACGGGCGCCAGCCCATGGGGGTGAGGGCTCAAGCTCTAGAAAATGCTGTATCTCGATTTGCCTTGCTTCCCTAGGGGGGTGGTCAACCGCCAAAGGCACGGCTCTGAAGAGCGGCTCCGATGCCAACCTTGTTGTGTTTGCCGCACTCGCTAAAAAGCTACACCTCCCCCCAAAAACGAGAGATGCAACATCATCAAGGAAATCCATAAGCAACTGGAAGCCTGTCAGCGGGAGAGGGATTTTGAAGTGAAGTTTGAGATTTCAAAATGGAAGGCTCCCCGGGCGCTGAGCTTAACTCTGAAATCCAAAGTCCTCAACGGAAGTGTTGACTTTGATGTGCTGCCTGCATTTAATGCCCTATAGGTAAGACTCCTAAGAGTTGAGCTTCTGGAAGAGGAAGAGGGATTCTGGTGTGATGGGGGGAGGCTGGGGGGCAGGGGGAGGGAAAGTCAGGTGACTTACTGATCGGACCTGGTCCAGTGCCCCAACAGGTGGCATTCATAATGACAGCAATACCTTACACCTGTATACATTTTCATTCTCGTTTATTTTATCCCTGCGACGGCCAGGACCCACATCTTATACTCCCATGGTGTCATTCACAACATCTGTCAAAGAATGGGGTACACAGGAATTCAGTACGCATTTATAGATAAAATGCCTCAAGTAGTAGGGAAGGAAATGAAAAAACAGACTGTGGGAGAAATTCTGAGGCAAAGACAGGAAATCTGGGTGTTCGCCTTCCATCTTAGGCAAAAACTCCTTTAGAAATTCAATTCGTGAGTGACAGATACACAATGGTGTATTAAAAGAATCCAAGGCGGGCTTCCCTGGTGGCGCAGTGGTTGAGAGTCCGCCGGCCGATGCAGGGGACACGGGTTCGTGCCCCGGTCCGGGAAGATCCCACATGCCGCGGAGCGGCTGGGCCCGTGAGCCATGGCCGCTGAGCCTCTGCGCGTCCGGAGCCTGTGCTCCGCAACGGGAGAGGCCACAACAGTGAGAGGCCTGCGTACCGCCAAAAAAACCCAAAACAAACCAAGGCTATTTCAGGCATTTTCCAAATCCAAATCAAGAAGACCCTGGTACCTTCCCTCTGAATGGTTCTTGTTCTTAGGGTCTTTAGAGAGGAAATGACACTAGATAGATAGGGGGTCAGCTCACTTTTGAAATAAAAGGCAAGATAGCAAATATTTTCAGCTTTAAGGACCATAAGGTATCTGTCACCACTGCTCAACTCTGCCTTTGTAGCTTGAAAACAGCCATAGACGATACATTAGTAAGTGGGCGTGACTGTGTTCCGATGAAACTTTATTTACAAAAACAAGTAGGCGGCCAGATTTAGTCTGGGGGCCACAGTTGGCAAACTTCAGATCAGCACTGTCTAGAAGGCCTTTCTGGGATAACGAAAATGTCCTCTACTTGTGTTCTGTATCTATTGAGAGCTTGAAATGTTGCTAGTACGAGTAAGGAACTAAATTTCTCATGTGATTTTCCTTTAATGAGTTTGAATGCAAATAGCCACCTTGGCTGATGGCTACCCTGTTGGACAGTGCAGGTCTAGATAATGCTTTAATAATAAATACTACCTATACTCATATAAACCATGTAATTTTTAATATCTCATTACTCTGGAGATGCCCCCGATATCTTAGACATCAGTAATTCACATACACTAATAGAGTTCAAAATAATTTCCCAGAATTAAATTATAGTTGTCAACAGTATTTTGAAATCTGTTACTTTCTATACAGATGAAAGCATAATGTAAATTTCTTCCCCATGTTAGGTGAACTGAAGTCTGACTTTACACCCAGCCCCAGGATCTATGCTGACCTCATCTATTTGCATAAATCCTCAGATGCCCTGGGGGGAGAATTTTCTACCTGTTTCACAGAGCTACAGCAAAATTTCGTTTGCTCCCGGCCCACCAAACTGAAGGATTTGATTCACCTGACTGGTACAAATGGGTACGACAGCTCTTGTCCTGGCCACCTGGTTACTATTTTTATCAGTACTCTGTGACCATGAAACCAGCACTTGTGCTCACTGTCTCCCATGCTGGGGGCTGGACCACATTACAGAATCTTCCCATGCCTAACCCTGAGTATCTTTGTGGAGTTCCCATCACTAACCCCATTGAGATGGGTCAGATGTAAGCATCTCCTCCCAACAAAGCTGCTACACATGGTTTATTTTGCTTTTTCTCTGACACCCAAAGAATTCTGCAGGAATCCAAGTTATCGTGCCTGCAAAGGGCAGATGAAGTTGGGATTTTCATGCCTGCTAGTCACCAGCATGGCTTATCTGCTGCTAGGTGTCCATAATTAATAGACACAGATGCTACCTCTTGGAAGGCAGGTTGAAGCAACAGGCAGCAGCAGGGGCTGCATTTTCTATACTGGTTCACCTCCCTTCACTTCCATCAGTCTTGCCACAGGGTAATTTCTAAGTATTCTCATGACAGCAGACACCCAGCACAATAGCAGCTCTTTCAGGAGATGTCTCCTTTCTGTGTCCAGCTTCCTGAAACCCGAGGAGACTGAACCCTGTGGTTTCCACGTCTACACCCAGCCCCAGGGTGCTCAGAGTGCTCAGGGCTGCAGGGTGACCTTGAGCAAGTCACTTCTCTTCCCCATGATTTCAGCATGGCGACCTCTGCCCGCTGTGTAGGGATGTTGGGGGATCAGGAGTGAATGATGTAGGTGGAATGTCTGGCCCCGTAATTAGCACACAGTGGGTCTAACTCTAGGAAGTCACATAAAGCCAAAGCACAACAAAGAAGCCTGCGTGGGCTGCCTTTAAGCTGCAAAGTGACCCTTCCCAGACCAGTCCCAGCACTGCGCCTCAAGACTTGGGTGCCCTACTGCGGCCCCAGCAGTCCTTCACGTGCACCCTCTAGGGCTCTTGCTACGCTCATTTCGGCTTCCTGCTTTAACCAGTATCGTCTGATGTTCCCACTCTTCCCTCAGTGTGGAAGCAAACTGAAGCAAAAGGCGTCTCTGCCCCCCAGATGGAGCTGCTTACCATCTACGCCTGGGAGCAGGGGAGCGGGGCGCAGGATTTTGACACGGCTGAAGGTTTCCGGATGGTCCTGGAGTTGGTCACAAAATAGCAGCATCTCTGTGTCTTCTGGATGGTCAACTACAACTTTGATGATGAGATTGTGAGGAACTTCCTCCTGACCCAGATCCAGAGAACCGGGTGCCCCAAACCTCAGCCCCCTCCATTTCTTAACCTGATTGATTCCCTCCAACGCTATTTTGGTGACCTGAATTCACCTCCCACAGGGTCCTGATCCATTATTCCTCATATGAAACCGAGAAGGGAATGTGCTGACCGTCAGAACCGCCCACAGTCTCCATGGGTAAAATCCCAGGGAGGCAGGAGAAATGTCATCCAGGAGGAACAAAGAAGGAAGGACCAAGGTACCAGGTCCCTGAGTTGCTTTCATCTTTCTAGGTCAGAAGGAAAAGCATGGATTCATTAGCAGGTCTAAAAGGTGTGGAAGTTGGAAGTGTGTTCCTGAGAAATAATGCTATTATTCGCTGCTGGTGTATCCTGCAGGCTGTTTATTAGATCAGGTTTTATCCCCCCTTTCCAACCTCCATCCCACAAAACATTTATCCTTCAAGAATAGGAAGGAATCTTAGTGTATCCACTCAGCACCAGCAGCAGGGAACCAAAACAGTGGAAGCAAAAGAAAAGAGAAGAGAGAAAAGAAAGAAACACTGAGAAAGAGTAGAGGAGAAAAAAGAAAAAGACAACAAGATACCCTGGCTTGCCTACCATGGGTGTGACCTACTTGACAGTAGAGTTGATTAAATGATACATTATATTTCAGTTGCCCTAGCATGGAGAGATGTTTATAGAATGCCTTCATGTGTATAATAATAAACAGCTTTCAAAACTTTTCTGACAAATATGATTTAATTCTAGGAAATCACTTTGAACTGTATTGGTACATTTGAATTACGGGCATCTAAGCTAGAAAGACACATTGTTTTATTATGAAGAATAGAATGGGCCCCCAATTCTGAGGCCACTGGTTTTAAAAAGCATGCCTCTAATGACTTCTAATCTCTCGTTTAGGTGTGTGATCTTGGACCCAGCCGATCCTGCTGGCGACATGGGTGGAGGGGACCGTTGGTGTTGGCATCTTCTAGCAGAAGCTACTGAATGGTTGTTGTCTCTCTGTTTCAGAGATGGGTCAGGTTGTCCCATACAATCGTGGAAAGTGCCAGTAAGAATCATCTAAAGGAAGTGTCATCTGGAGATTACCCTGGGACAGGCTGAAATCAAAGAGCTTCCCTGCTATAGCAACTTGGGATTCACTCAGCCACAAATAACAGATAGCCCAACTCAGGAGCTTACACGATTGGGTTTTTTCTTCCCATAACAAGAAATCCTAAGGCAGGCAATCTAGGACTCACACAACAGCTCCACTGGACTTTCCCCAGGAGCAGATAATCTCCACCGTGGCACTTGGTATTTGGGGCTGGATAGTTCTTCGTGGTAGGGGCTGTCTTGGGTAGTGTAAGTCTCTACCCACCAGATGCAGTAGCACCACCCCGGAGTGCAACAACCAAAAATGCCTCCAGACATGACCAAGGGTCCCCTGGGGCACATTCATCCCCAGCTCTTCCTGGCTCCACCTCTTTACTCGTTCATTTGAGTCTTCATGGCACTGAGAGTGGCTATTGCACGTCCAGGTGGCGGGTTCATGGTCAGGTTTGAGGAACAGAAAGGGGGAGGATACCCACCCAAGTATCTTATTAGAAGCCTCATCCAGCAAACTCTCTTACATTTCAAGTTGCAGCTACCTGTAACTTAAAAGTGGCTCCAAAAAGGGGGGGAGTTGGGTCAGCCAGCCAAGAGTGCCTGCCACCCCTGTCCAAAGCTCCACTGCCAACCAAGATACCTGCCACCAGGTATACTTGGTTCCCCCATCAGGTTCTCTGTCAACAAGTACCCAAAACTGTCCCTGGTAGTAGTCACCTTCTCAGATACACTTCCTTCTTTCTTTTTGTTATTTTTTCTGTCTCTTTTAACCAATGGTTCTAACTGCTTGGATATGTATTATCCTTGCACATATATTTCTTTCTTTCTAGACAGTGCAGTCACCAGGAAGTTGGGGAACAGGGATACCTTCTATTCTCAGTGAGATGCACTTATTCAGAAGGTGTCAATTCCTGGAATAATAATGCTGGAAGAAACTTCTAGAGATCACCAGGCAATTGCTTTTTTTTTTTTTTTATGGTTAATAAACTACAAAATTCACAAACCCAAGCCTGAATGAACGGTATTGCTGTATTTCGTATTATCATTATTGGTATAACATATTAGCCATGATTGATAGCAAAAATCATTGTACCTAATAAATATTGTGCCTTTATTTAGAAAGGTGACTTATAAGCACTGCTGTAGGCCTGCTAGATGGGGCTTTGATTTTCTAATAATACTATTAAGTTATCTAATCTATTCACAATAGCTTGACCTGATGGCCACAATCTATGTTTTTCAGATGACTGGTATGATTAGAAATTTGGCTTATGACTGGTCCTCTTCCTTCTCCGTAATCTCATCTGAACAATTTAATGCACGACCATGGCCTCCCCCACCCCTGACAGGCAATTGCTTTTAAAGAATCGGTTTGCTGTGTGAAAGAGTAGCGCATTCTTCCCTTGACGGCCCCACTGCTCCTTCCCTCGCTTCTCCAACTCCTTTTGAAATCAAGGCCTCCACGTCCTTCGTAAAGTCTCACCTCGCCTTGCTGAAGTCTTGCTCCGTGTGTGACCTCCGTTATTAAAAACATTTGCTCTCGTCCAGGTTTATGTGCACTGTATTTGTCAACCATTCTGTATTTTCCCAATTACTAACTCCTTCCTTTTCCTTCAAGTCTTAGAAGAGGGCTCTTTTCCCAAAGTGAAGCCCTTCACCTGCCCCTTTATTCCCGTAATTCCATGATCCTGCTCTCACACACTCCTCTACCCCACCCACCACCTGTCTCTTTTCCTCTGTACCCAAAACCCTCTCTGTCCCTGCCGAAAAGAGGTCTCTGAAACCAGTAATGAGCGGGCCTCTTCTTACACCTGCAAACTCTCTGAAGGCTTGGATTATAACTGTTGAGATAGATAGATAGATAGATGATAGATAGATAGATAGATAGATAGACAGATATCAGCAGTTGTTTAATATATATATAAAATATATTATACATGTATATATATAACTGTTGTCATTTCCTTCTGAGCCTACCTTTTCTCCCCCATCCATGAGTATCTTCTTGCCAAATCTAAAGGCTTTATCCTCTGGCTTTAGCTTCCAAGATACCTAAAGATCTAAGTGCTTTAACCTCATATATCCACTTAACGTTTCATTACTGCCACATACACCAACTTGCTTGTCATATAAGAAAGAATAGATCTGGTCTTTCCCCCAGTTCCAAGCTTCAAAAAGCCCTTGGAACTTCCTGATAGGGTGTATTTTGTATTCATAAGGAGCCTCTTTCAACACTCCCTGAGTTAGGCTAACGAGGTGTGTGTCCTTAGATAGTTTCGAAGGAGGGGTTGGCCATGCCAGACATGCCAACTGTGTGATGAGAGGGACCTTCCAAGAGAAACTTCCAAGAGAACCTTCCAAGAGAACAGGAGGGCTGGAGATTGAATCCAAGCACATCACATGGCTGGTGATTTAATCAATCGTGCCTTTGTAATGAAACCCTAATAAAAACTCTGGACAACAAGGTTTCCTGGTTGTTGAGCATATGGATGTATCATGAAGATAACACATCCTGACTCCAAGTGGATGGGAGCTTTCGTGCTCACAAGCCTTCCAGCCCTCACCCCCTGTGTATCTCTTCATCTGGCTGTTCACTTGTATCCTTTACAATAAAATGGTGATTGTAAGTATAGCACTTTCCTGAGTTCTGTGAGTCACTCTAATGAATTATTGAACCTGAGAAGTCAGTGTTGTCTGCAGCTGGGATCTGAAGTGGGGACAATCTTGTGGGGACCTTGCCCTCTAACCTGCAGGGTCTGCCCCACCTCCAAGTAATGTCAGAATTGAACTGAATTGTTGTAGGACACCCAATCGGTGTCAGTGAGTTGGTGTTGGAATGTACCACTGTTCTTGCCCAGAACAAGGACAAAGGAAATTGCTGTGGCCTCAGGTTGAGGGATGAAACAATGACCAAGTTCACATCTACTCAGGCTACAGCTAATGACCAGACCCCTCTAGACACCTGAACTTGTCCTAGATCCATAGATAGGAAACTATAAGACACTGCCCCACCCTCCCAGGGCTTATGATGTACCTAGAGGAACAGAACACATAACCCCAAATCCCTTATAGAACAATGAAGGGCAATTTACAACCATGTGCTAAGCGATTTGTATACAGTGGACGAAGACCAGACAGGATAAAGTGAGGAACTTAAAGCTCACCCCAGAGGCACAAAGGGACCATTTCAGCCTTCTCAGCTTCAGTAGATATTTAAGTTCATTAAGAGCAAAGATATGGAAAAGTGTCAGCGAACAAGAAACATGTGGTCATGGATCATCGTTGAAAGTAACTAGGGCACCAGCCCATTTTTTTCTCCAGAAAATTGGCAACTAACAACAATGAATAGGAAATAAATCCAGCCTTTCTTGTACAAACTTTATTTCAGGATAAACAAACGGCCATGACTGATAAGGAAACAAAAATTTTAACAGAAATATTCTACTTAATATGTGTTGAAAGGACGACAACTTAGAAACATCAATTTTGCAACCTCTGATGAAATAGGTGATTTAAGCAGAGATTGTCAGTGGATGAAACCATTAGATGAAGTGCTGATGGGGGACTCTATGATAGACGCAGGAGAGAGTGTCACCTCCCAAATCCACAGTTTAATTATAGCATCAGTAGGAGAGGGACAGCCAGACACGGTGTGCCAGCTGGTGTGAGGCCCATGGAGCACACAGCCCTATCCAGTAAGTAGTTTTGCCAAATTAAAAAAAAAAAAAAATGCTGTAAGAGACAAAAGGAATTGAGTTAGCAAACTCCAGGCAAAATGTATAGGCAAGACAGACTTCACAGGAAGAGAACAGCAAAGACAGGAGAAACGAGGACAAGAAATGTGGAAGGGTGTGTGCATTTTTGCAACCACAAAAGAGAAATGAGCCAAGAACATGGCAAGAATCCAGTTAAGTAGAGTTAAAGGTCAAGACCCGAGGCCCATGTTCCACTGCTGGTTACCCTGGCAACAAGGTCACTTACATCAAAGGAAGTAAGCAATGATTGGAAGCAGGGCTACACATAGTGACTGGTCAATGGCCCAGGAGGAGTTTGGGAAGAGTTTGGGCAGCAGATCACAAATGAGGCCACCAATGGGGAGAATTTGTGGATAAAAGGATTCCCTGGAGCCTGCATCCTGGAGGATATTGGCTGCTGTGACCTGAGGCTTCTCCAGCTGCGTTTGGTCAAATCTGAGTGGGTAAAATGTTATCACTCTTTGGTTCTATTTCTTCTCATCAGTGCATGGGATGAACCTCAGCAAGGAAAAAGTGAAGAAAGTTCTTTATCTCTCGCTCTCTCTCACGCTTGCTCTCCTAGGGCCACACTGTGTGAACTGGCCTGGGTCCACTCTGAGTGGGGTGTAGACCTGGAGGGAAGAAGTTGGTGCAGGGAGAAAAATGTGATGATCCCAGTAACTGAACCCAGCTCAACCCAACCCAGCCAAGAGGGTTCCATCTGAGCACCAACGGTGCCCATAATGCTCGCTGTGGATGAAGATCCTCAAAGAGGTACAGAATCCAAGTTACTTTCCCTTTGTTATAGGGCCAGGCTGGCAACTGCAAAAGAGAACTTCTCATGTTCTGAGGGCCAAGGCTCCAGTTGACAGAGCAGGAAGTCATCACCCGGAGAAGGGAGAAAGCTCAGCTGTTGTGCTGGGGGTGCTGGTCAGGAAAAGGGATCCTTCCCCAGGGCTTGGCCATGGTGATGCCAGAATAATGGGAGAACAAAATAGTCAGTGGGTGACCCCTATGAGCTCTGACAGCGAGAGGGGAAAGGACGTCGGGGGGGGGGGGGGAACCCACCAAAAAGCCACAAGAGACCTGGGAAAGCAAGAAGGGGGTGTGGCAGGTGGAATAATTACCCCCCAAAGATGTCCACATCATAATCCCTGGAACCTGTGGATATGTTACCTTACGTGGCAAAGGGACTTTGAAAATGTGATTAAGGACCTGGAGATGGGGAGATGATCCTGAGTTATTCAGGTGGGTTCAGGTGGGTCCAGTCTAATTCCGTGAGCCCTTAAAAGCAGAGAAGCAGTCCCACCTGAAGTCAGAGAGATTCAGCTCAAGAAGAGGCAGGTGAGGGATCTGAGCCGCTGTTGCCGGCTCGAAGGGCCAAGTCAGGGCATGTTCTAGGCTTCTAGGAGCTGACAGCCGCAAGGAAACAGGAACCTCCGTCCTGCTGTCACGTGGACCTGGACTCAGCCAACGAGCGAGCAGAGTGACCTGTAGGTTGACCCTCCCTAGAGCCTCCAGGTAAGGAACGCAGCCCGGCCAGCGCCTTGTTTTCAGCCTTGTGCCACCCAGAGCAGAGACACCAGCCAGGCGTGCTGGGCCTCTGACCACGGAACTGTGAGCTGATGAACTTGTGTGGTCTTGAGCCACTAAATGTGTGATCGTTTGTTTCAGCGGCTGCGGCCTCACAGGCAGGTGGCAGTAAGCAGCTCGGGGACTGGGCCCAGAGGGGAGTCAGCCTCCCCTGCTCCGGGACCAGTCACTCCATGCCTGCCCAGCCTGGCCTGTGTCCAGGGAAGGCGACTCACACGTAAGAGGGAAAACTCTTTTTTTCCTCGGCCTTCAGTATTTCTGACACCAGTCCCAGTGCTTCTTTTTTTTTTTTTTTGGCTGTGCTGCACGGCTTGTCGGACCCCAATTCCCCAACCAGGGATCGAACCCGGGCTCTTGGCAGCAAAAGTGCCAAGTCCCTACTGCTGGACCACCCGAGAATTCCCAATACTTCTGACACCAGATTGGGAGTGGGGGGATTTTCTCACACTGAGCAATTCTCCGACACCAGCTGTGTGTCCCACAACTCAATTCAATCCTGACCCTCTCTACCCAGAGTCCATGTCAGACCCCACGGGTGAGGGGCTCAGTCCCACAGTACGGCCGCCACCTCCACTTCAGCGTCCAGGCCTCCG